AAAACTATAATTAATTAATGAAGAGTTTGTGACAAGATTTATGAATGAATTGGAGAGATAATGAGGAGTAGATTAATAGAGGCCTTATGGCGATGGCTATGACTTATGGCAGAGAGAGAGAGAAAGAGAAAGTTGAGGTCGATATTGTGTACAATCACTTTGTCGTCAGTATAAATAAAAGGCCACCGAAATGTATGGTGAGGTTAATGGGCGGACCGGTGCCGACGCTGTTTCGCCAATTCCATGTCAACCAGCTTTGGGTCACTTTCTCTCTCACATACTATATATTCTCATCAAAACTGAAAACAAATCCATTCTTAAGTTCGGATCACATCTCAGATGTTTTGTAGGAATCAAAAGTCATATAAACTAACTTCAAACTAATAAAATGAATAAATCTAATGTGAGTTAAATAAACTTTTAAATTAATGGTTAATTTGCATATAATGTATGAAATGACTAATAAAATGGACATATTGTTCAATTTGTAGAATATTATTGTCTGCTTATGTGTTGTTTTATTAACACTGAGTTCTTGTGAGGCATCGATCGGTTACTTCGAGAGCTACGGTTGGCCCACATATGGCATTGTAAAGCCCTTTTGGATGCAACCCTTCTCTGACCACCCGTCCCGACAGGTGAGCGGCTATTCCCGAAAACACGATGTCTTGTCTGCGGGTGTGGTTCGCGGCAATCCATTAAATCAAGGAAATTACCAAAACTACGGGATGTAATGATATATTCATTCAATCATTTATTTAAATACCATTCACTTTAAACTATTTAAAGCCATATATTTATTTGCCAACAAATTTTATAAATAAATCTCAAATTATATTTGATTATTAAAATATAATGATTTTTATTTAATTTATAAAACAATTAAATAATACAAATGATATAATGAATCCAAAGGTAGTGTTGGTGTCTGTCATGTCACTCGTCTTTCTGGTCACTCTCTTCTTCGTTTGTCTCAACATTGGATTCATTGTTATGATTAACATTCAGTTTGCGCTCCATTTCTGATATCTCTAACTCCAAGTGCAGACACTGTCTCTCAATCTCGTAATTCTTGGCCACGAGTGACACCCACTCGGACTCCAAGTGCTTAATCTTGTCTCCGGCGGCCATCTGTGAGCTCTTGCGAAACCAATTCACTTCTTGGATGTGTTTCCGCAGCTCTTGTAAGTCCTTCTGAGCGTTTGACTGCATTTGTGTCAACGTCTCGTTGTACTGCTTCCAGCCCTCGGAGCCCAACCTCTGCATCAGTTCCAAGTTGTCGATTCTGATGGACTGGTGTTGCAATTGTGCCATCGAGTTGGCCACGGATTCGTTCCACGCGGACAAGTCGGTCATCTTTCCCGCCGGAGGACCCGGCAGTTCGTACCTCTTCATCGACAACATGTCCATCGGCTGCCGGTTGTGGAGTCTCTCCAACTCTGTCCGCATTAGATCCGTCTCGAAGTCTTTGAGGTTGAGTTGAGACAAGTTGTCCAAATAGTTTTTGGTCGCTTTGTATCTTCGGGTCTCTTCCGACACCATCTCCAGCACCGCTTCTCTCACTCCCGGCTCTTCGAAACCCATATCAATGTACGGCAAGGCGTCCACCAATTGATGGTCGCTCGTCATTGTCACCACAGATGACCGGAGATGACCACAACTACAACAACGATGTCTTCACCACTATTTGTGTCAATAATAATAGCAATCAATTCATGTGATTATCACTTATTCTCACAACAAATGAACACATTTTGCATTCAAATTCGTGTCCAAAACTAACGCTAACTTTTGATTGTCAGTGAAATTACTATTTATTTGGTTATAAATAAAGTACAAACAAATTATAAACCATTTATAACTTAATTAAATATTTTTAAATAAAGTATTTCTAAATAACGATTTAATATATGTTTTAATTATTAACTAAAATATGAATTTAATACAGAAATTGGCGAAAATAGAGTTGAATTGAGCCGTAATTGATGTGCGGTTTTGGACGCCATTTAAAGCATAGCTTTGTTTATAAAACGATTTAAAGTTTTCATAAATGAATGTTTGAATCAATCGTTAACTGAATCG